GGGAGGTCATAACAGCTGCACACACTATTGTTCGAAGACGCGGGAAGCTAGACCAAAGGATCAAGAAGCGATTTAAAGGACCCTTTTCTACATTAACATAGAAAATTCCTGCTTTGGTACCCGGGTACCCCGGTTATTGAAATTAAGTGCAATTTTTGGTTATAGAGAGAAGGGTTAAAGGGTTATGAAAATCTGCTAAGAAAACGAAAGAAAAAAATACGACAGAAGAGGATCTTGATAAAAAATCGATACACAATGCAAAGAAATTCTTCTATCACCACCATAATGCAACCAAAATAAATCAATTGATTCAACCAAAATAAAAGATTTCACGCAATATTTATACAAATAAATCAAAATAAAAAAAAATTTCTTTTTTTACTCTTGCCGCTAACAATCATAAGCGTTAAATTTTGAACACAGTCTCCATGATAGTGCAGTGCGTATATAAAGACCTGATTGTCTCGTTGGATCGGGTGACACAATCGCGGTACGCATCGTGTGTGAACACATCGAAGTTATATATCAATTGCACGATCATCGTCGATCTACGACAGAGAGGAAGTCTTCGCTTTGTATATATATAGGTGTTTTTAAACGTGTCCTCAGAAAAAGAAAAAAATACGACAGAAGAGGATCTTGATAAAAAATCAATACACAATGCAAAGAAATTCTTCTATCACCACCATAATGCAACCAAAATAAATCAATTGATTCAACCAAAAAAAAAAAACAGTTTTACGAGCACTTGTGTAGCACAATAGAGATCACTGATTTCATCGGTCACTTATTTCAAAATTTCCATCTCATAATTCCGAACTTTTGAAGATTTTGTGGAAAGCTATAAAAAAGAGACATGTGAGATTATTCACATTATGGAGTATCTGACGGGAATCAGATATATTAAAAAAGAATATTCTCAAATGAAAGAGCATATTTAATGAAAAACGAGGCAGGGGTTTTAAATTTAAAAATTTTTTCATCTTAAAAAAGAATATTTTCAAATAGAAGAGTATATTTAACGAAAAACGCGCGAGGAAGGGGTTTTAAATTTCAAAATATGTTATCATATTAACTTTTCGAAGCATAATCGCAATGCGTAAGAATATAAATATTATAAAGCAAATCAGATAGTATCACAGAATATTATATGGTAATATGATTATATCGCGGTAAAATATGCGGTAGAAGTTATATTAAGGTTCCATATTTATCAGGGAAGTTCTATAACGTTATCTCTTTCTCCCCATTTCCAAGAATATAAAGTCTATATTTCCGCAATTTTCAGACGAATCCTTGAGTCTAATTAGATCCTGCAAATTAAAAATTTCAAAATTCAGGCTTCCTGGCCCCGGTGTTGAAAAAGTCAATATCGATACCAGCATCTCCGCTTTAATTTGTCCTATGGCCGCTGTTTCGCCGCCGATGCCACTCGGACTCGATCTATATAGTTGTTAGAAATGCAGATCGCCCGGGGTGGTGCGACTTACACACGGGGTAAACGCATCGACCTGGCTGTGGCCGTAGCTCGCGTCAGGTGCGCTCGCGCCCCTCGAGCGAGCGATAATGAAAACGGCAGAAGAAGGAAAGGAGGGGTATAAAAAATCTATCTGATAAAGACGTTAGAAAAATATTTTATAGGCAAGGGATTGGAACTAAACGTGGGAAAAACAAAAGTAGTAAAATTCAGGGAGGCAGGGAGAAGGTGCGTAAAAATGAGCAAAGTAAATTGGCAATGGAAAGGAAAGAAGATTGAAGAAATTAAACAAATATTCGGGATATGTAATACAAAGCAGTCCAAAGTATGATTTAAAATACAATTCAAAGCTGTGGTACCCACTTTAACCGATGTTAATATAGACAAAGAAACCAGAATAATCAGAGTAACCAGAGTAACCAAAGAACTTCCAAAATAATAATAAAGTTGAAAAGAAGTTGGATTAAAACAAAGTGACTGAAGCAATAATTGAAAATAAAGCAAAGCAGTCTGTTCTCTAGAAAACGTTTGGGCACATTCAAAGTTCTCTCGTTCATTAATGAGAATGAGCTTCGACGAAATGAAGCGCCAACTTCCTTATATAGACTACAGAAGAGTCCAGAGGTTATAAATATATTTGTTACTTGTATTATAACTAAAAACCGCGCGGAGGAGTAACCAAAAAACTCGCAACTTACATGAATACCGATCTTACGTCGACTTACTCGGATACCGATCGCCATCTCCTCGGGAAGTCGCAACGCGCGACAGGACGGCGCCGTTGGTCACGGGTGAGTAAAACGTAAGGAGTCCCGATTCGCGGGAGGGTGGTCCCGCGACGGTTCGTGAAGACTAAGGGCTGCGAGACCGCCGTGCCGCCGCGGGATCGCAGGATCGGCCGGGCGGATCACACGAGGAGCTCCTTGAGGAAGTCCTCGGCAAGCAAATCCTACAAGTAGTCGTCGACGCGCTCGCTCTCGTCCGGCGGGCTCGGCTCGCTCACGCTCAGGATCGGCAGGCCGAAGTGCTGGACCTCGATGCTCGACTCCGTGGTCGCCCGTCTCGCGTACTCGCAGCTCTTCGTGTGCCGCTCGACGTCCGTGCGTCGGTGATGGTGATGATGCCGTGGCGGACGAGTGGCCTCGGACTCGTACAATCGCCGATAACACCTGCGGAATTTCTGGAATCAGTTGACGTCGGGCTAATTTCTCGCGTCTTTATATAAAATCGAATGAAGGATCTTTTTACCGCTCGTCCATGGAAGCAGGCTGTCGCACGGGGCATCTGACGTACTCGTGGCTTCCGCCGGTGCGCCATCCCCCGAAACGTTTGGTCATCAACGACGAAGATGGCACAGGGGAGTCCCTGAAACACAAGAGCCTTGATGATCTACGCCGAAGATTTCGATGTTTTGCGCGTTCTGTATACGAAGTAGTATTTACACGTGTGCGATATTTACACTTGAGCATATCAAATCTTGCGGTTTAATATCTCGGTTTACAACAGTAAGTAAGTTACAAACTACTGCTGAATTAAACCGACGCGACGTCAGAAGTTAGCCGACAAGTGAGGCCGATAAATATAATTTATCCATTCATGTCTCGTGCGCTCAAATTGAATCTACAAAACACCTTCAATTTCCAGTACTAAATCTTCACGATCTCATGTGGCATTCAAGAAGAATTGATTGATGTTCGATGGATAGGAAAAGAGTCGGGAACTGAGGGGACACTCTTGAGAATGACACTGGTTGTGATTCACAGCACTTTATTATATGTATGCACTTGTGTGCATGCCGCACGGCGCGTAACCGTAGCGAGAAGAGTCGCTTGTAAGAAAATATGCAACGCGAAACGGAGTACGTGACAGGTTGGTTTGGAGCGCCTCCGAAAGCAGGTGCTCCGACACGATGGAGCGAAAACAAAAAATGAGAATCGTTGCCAGAAGCAAGACACCGGTCGCGATGGTTATTTCAGCGACCGATAGATAACGACTGGTTACGAGCGTGAAAAATAGCCTCGAACGGCCGAGAATCGGTATGCGCGAGCACCGAATTTGCGATTGTGCGTCGATTCTCGACGGTTCGAGACGCGTGGATGCCGCGTGATTTCCTCGTGACCGGCTTGTTGCTTTCTCTCGGAGACTCTCCAAATCGACCGAAAACTCGACACGAAATAATGGATTTGAGCACGTGAACACTGAACAATTGATAATGCAATCACTGACTAATTCAAAAATAAAAAATCTATTATTTATATTATCAGTTTATATTTCTTTTTTAGTTATTATTTATATTATCAGTTTATATAATAGATTAAGGAGAAACTGATTGGCAATATGCAATTATTAACTAATTATATCAAAAATAAAAAATCTATTATTATTTACAAATTATTGGTTTAATAGATAAAGGGGAAATGGACTAATGCATAATTAATAATCACCTGCTAATTATTAGAAATTTCTTATTAAAGTGTATATATATTATCGATTTAGTAGTGCGGTAGTTCTTATCGATCGCTATCTCTAAGTGAAATATCTATGTGTTAAATTACTCATCCATCTTATTGTGATCATTTTGCTTGAATTTGAAGCAATATTGTCAATAGAGCGCGTATATTGATCTCTGTTCCTCTAATTACAGTAAGCTATGTAAATTAAACAAAAAATCTCAAGTCATAGGTGTAGCGTTTTGTCGAAGACCGATCGAGATATCGCCTCGATTGCGCCGCGCGAATTTACCCGGACAACGTTCTCGCCTCGTAATGGTCACTCGGCGCACGATAGTAATCACGAGATAGAAAGTTCTGAATGTCAAGGGAGATAAAGCTGGCCGGCGAAAGAGAGAAAAACGGCGCTCGCCCTCGGCTTGCGTATAACTACGGGCAAAATCAAGCTAGGGGCTACAGGGAACTTTGCGTACATGTCGCATACACACGCGCCGCGCTTTCATAATTCATTCGTAGCTCCGCGTATAGCGGCCTGCGTGTAGCGACACGTGTGCATGTAACGTTGACATTATGGAAATGATGCGGGGCTAGAAAGGAAAGCAGGACATTCGCCGCGGAGCGTATCTAAACGGCGTGCGTGCGCGCGCGCGCGCGCGCGATTCTAGAATTTAAACGACCTAAATATATATAGGGATTATAGGAAATGTTCTCGCCGCATGCGAGATCGTCGCTAAATCGCCGCACGCGCGATCGCGTTCCAAGAAAGGGCATTTCCAGCTTGGACGGTGCAACATGTTGCCGAAAGGAAACGAAAAGTTGTCACGAGAGCGATCGCGGCGAGGATATCGCGGAGAGGAAAAAGAGAGTCACGTGCCTGCAATACTTATAATAAATCAATTTAGAAATCAAGTCCCAAAATATTTTGATTAAAACGAGAAATATTGTTTGCTCCGAAACAATGCATCTGACATGTTACATTGATTTAAGCTAAAATGTATTTCTTCCAACAAAAGGAAATGAGAAATTATATTTTCATACACTCTGAAAATTCTATAACATGAAACTAATTTTTAATAAAAATAAACGGACAATAATATATTAGATCTGCGTCTTTATGAAAAATTTTATTGTGCTTTATTAATGAAATGGCTATGAAATTAATAATAAAGTAATGCGAAGTAAGCAGAATGTGAAGTATCGCTTGAAATAATTTCTAGAACGGAGAAATTTATGACCGCGAAAGGCCATTCGATTTCGTATGACGACGTCGAGATCCATTTGATTATTGCTTCCTTCATAATCATTTAGATGAATCGAGATGTTCATAACAGCATGCTATTATGACGCAGGAAATGAAATGTGCAGATATAAGCGAATGAAATGATCAATGGTGGAATTCGTTAGTGGTCTAACATTGCTAGCAGTTAATATCGTATCCTGAAATTATAATCGATTTATGACGAGCGAGCGAGATGAGACGCTGCGATAATGTGTGAAACAAGCATTGTAGTAATTATATTAATCCTCAATATTGCTTAATGCAATTTTTAGGTCATAGATCGATTTTATTATCGTTTTGTTTCATTATTGCGTTTCTCTTCATGTCAACTTTGTGTACGAGATTACAATATAAAATCTAATTTATGCTTTGTGTCTTTAGAAAGTATAGAAAGTATAATTTGAGAATTAAAATAGGAGAGAGAGAGAGAGAGAAGAGAGAAAGAGAAGCTTATTCAGCATATAAACTATTCAACTCTATTTTTGTAACTTTATTGCCTGCATTGGCAGCCAAAGGATTAAACATCCCACGCACGTCGCGCATTCTTCCTCGAGACTGACGTAAAGATCGCGGGACGATATTCTCGCCGATGCTAATCGCTTGATGGTAGCGACGTGAGAATACGCGGCGACGAGCGCGGCGAAAAGCGGGAAGGTCGAACGACTGCAAACAGGAAGGGTCGCAAAGTAGCGGAGTCATTTACATGCGAGGCGCGGGTCAAGTGGGCATCGCCTACTGAAATTGTGATCGATAGTCGGCCGGCCGGTCGGTCGGTCGGTCGGTCG